AATCCCTATCAAATTGACATTTTCCATAGAAACAGAACAATCCTAAAATGTTTATTAAGGCACAAAAGACCCCAAAGAGCTAAAACAATTTTGTAAAAGAAGAATAAAGCTGGAGGCATCACACTCCCTGACTTCAAACTATATTATAAAGACATAGTCATCAAATCAATATGGTATTGGCATAAATACAGACACACAGATTAATGGAACAGAATAGAAAGTCCAGAAATAAACTTACTTACATATAGTCAATTAATTTATGACATAGAAGCTAAGAAGTTGTGAGGAAAGTACAGTCTCGTCAATAAATTGTGCTCGGACAACTAGACAACAACAGACAAAAAGAATGAAACTGGACCACTATCATATCTTATACACAAAAACTAATTCAAAATGCATAAAAGATTAGAATGTAAGCCTTGAAACCATAAAACTCCTAGAAAAAAACTTTGGTGGGTAAGCTCCTTGACATTGATCTTGGCAGTGATTTTTTGATGTGACACCAAAAGCAAAGACAACAAAAACAAAAAAGAACAAGTGGGAATACATCAAACCAAAAAGCTTCTGCAAGCAAAGGAAACAATCAACAAAATAAAAAGGTAACCTATTAAATGGAGACAATATTTGAAAATCATGTATCTAATAAGGGGTTAATATCCAAAATATATAAACAACTCATATAACTCAATAGAAAAACAATACGGTTAAAAAATGGGCAGTGTTTACGAATAGACATTTTTTCAAAGAAGATATACAATGGCCAGCAAGTACCTGAAAAGGTGCTTAACAGCACTAGTAATCAGGGAAATACAATTCAAAACCACATATCACCTCACATCTGTTAGAATGACTATCATTAAAAAGACAAGAAATAAGTGTTGGCAAGTATGTGGAGAAAAGGCAAGCTTTGTGCATGGTTGGTGAGAGTGAAAATTGGTGCAGCCATTATGGAAAATAGTATGGAGTTTCCTCAAAAAGTCAAAATCAAAATAAAACTACCATATGATCCAGCAATTTCACGTCTGGACATGAAAGGAAATAAAAACACTAACTCCAAAAGATATATGCACCTCCATGTTCACTGCAGCACTATTTACAGTAGCCAATACATGGAAGCAGCCTTAATGCTCATCAGATGAATGGATAAAGAAAATACGGTATATACATATGTGGAATGAAATATTATGCAGCCATAAAAAGAAGGAGATCTTGCCATTTCAACAACATGGATCTTGAGGGCATTATGCTAAGTGAAATAAGTCAGACAGAGAAAGACAAACACTGTATGATGTCACTTACATATGAAATCTAAACAAAACAAAACAACCAAACTCATAGATATAGACAACAAATCTGTGGTTGTCAGAGGCAGAGGCAGTGGGGCAGGGTGGGGTGGGGTGGAGGTGAAATGGGTACAAACTTCCAATTATAAAATAAATAAGTCACAGGGATGTAATGTACATTATTGTGATTATAGTTAATGATACTGCATTTCATGTTTAAAAGTTGCTAATTGAGTAAATCTTAAATGTTCTCATCAACAAGAAAAAAAAATTTGTAACTATGTATGGTGATGGATTTAACTAGACTATTGTGGTGAACTTTTCCTAATATATACAATTATCAAATCATGTTATAAACCTGCAACTAATATATTATATGTCAATTATATCTCAATTCAAAAAAATGGACAAGGAACCTGAACAGGTATTTTTCCAAAGAAGACATACAAATGGCCAACAGGTGTATGAAAAGGTATTCAATATCACTAATCATTAGGGAAATACAAATCTAAACCACAATGAGATATTACTTCACACTGTTAGAACAGCTGTTTTCAAAACCAAAAGATATACCAAGTATTCAAGTGTTAGTGAGGATATGGAGAAAAAGGAACTCTCGTGTACTGTTTGCCCAAATGTAAACTGATACAGCCACTGTGGAAAACAGTATGGAGATTCCTCAAAAAACTAAAAATAGAACTACCATATGATTCAGCAATCCCATTCTGAGTATATATCCAAAGGAAATGAAATCACATCTCGAAGATATCTGCACGCCTATGTTCACTGCAGCATTACTTACGATAGTGAAGACATAGACATAACCTAAGTGTCCGAGAAGGGATGGCAGGATAAAGAAAAGTTGATATGTATCTCTATATCTATCTATCTATCTATCTATCTATCTATCTATCTATCTATCTATCTAAAATGGAATATTATTCAGCCATAAAAAATGAAGGAAATCCTGTCTTTTGCAGCAATATGGATGAACTTTGAGGACATTATGCTAAGTGAAATAAATTAGAGAAAGACAAATCCTGTATGATCTCACTCATATGTGGAATCTAAAAAAAAAAAAATCACCCCAAACTCATAGAAACGGAGAGTAAATTGATGGTTGTAGGCACTGGGAATGGAGGAATGGGTGATGGTGGTTAAACTTCCAGTTATGAGATGAATATGTTCTGGGGATCTAATTTAAAGCATAGTGATTATAGTTTAAAATACTGTATTTTATACTTGAAAGTACTAAGAGAGTAGATCTTAAATGTTCTCACTACCAAAAAAAGGTAACTGTGAGGTGATAGATGTGTTACTAGCCTTGATTATGGTAAGTATTTTGCAATATGTACATGTATCCAACTATCACAATGTACACCTCAAACTTACACAAAGTTATATGTCAATTATATCTCAATAAAGTTGGAAAAAATAAAGAACAAAATATTCTGGCAAAAAAAAAAAAAGTTTATTGCCTGAATGAGTGAATAAGAGCTGATTGGGAGGAGCAGACATCAGAGATGAAGGACAGGGACTTGCACAGAGGCTGGTCCTGTTCCAGTTCAGCTTCAGAGGTGACATTAGTGAAGGAGGAAATGGCCCTGTTTGGACAATGCTATGGGGCTGAGCCAGGGCTCAAACAGGTAGACAAAAGTTCCCAAGAAAATGGGCCTTATCAGGATGCTCTGCTTTGCTGCCCTGAAGACTAGCCAAATCCCAGAGCCTACCTCATTAGCCTCTGCTCCATGGGACACTCAGAGATACCCCTGGCCTTGGTATAGGGTGGTCCTCCAGATCAGAGATGGCCCACAGGCAGGGGAAAACCCTGAGGCCCACCTACCCTGCATTGAAAATCCCTCTGAAGTGAGTACAGCTATTAAAACAACTTCATAGAGGGGGGAAAAAAAGGCAGCTTAAGAGTTCACTAACTTGCCCAAGGCCCCTTAACTAGACACCACTCAGTTGGGACACAAATTCCTGTTGCCATTTTCTTACCACTACATTATACCACCTCCCTAACTGAAGGCTCTAAGTATCAATCGGTTTTCTGTAAAACCAGAATGACCATGGTTCCTTGCTCAGTTACTAGGGAAATTCAACAGCATAATGTACCCCAGAGCCTGGCACACAGTGAGCATGCAGGAAATAACGGGTGTTCAGCAAGTGCTGGTTCTTCTTCCCTAGTCTCAGATTCCCATTCCACACACTCAGCTCTCACCCAGTGATGAGTTGTATTTTAAAAGACTTCTAATGATTCCAATTAGATCCCGGCATAAACTACTCAGACCTATGAAAAAAATGATCCGTGACCTTGGAAAAGTTATTCCACTCCCTGGTCTTGTTCTGTCGCTGTTGGATGTTGCTCTTAATGTTGACCTGGAAGAGTTATGCAAGGATGAAACAACAGGAGGAGGCATGGAGACAGTCCAGTGCCTGCCTGGTAACAGACACACATCTGAGTACTGTTTTCCCTCCGTCTTCTCTCTACCCCAGTGGCTATTGCAAGGTGGGGGGAGTTCTGTCCATTATTAACTATCCGGTACCCACCTATGTAAAAGATGTATGTGTCTATCATTTTACTGTTCATCCAACCCCAAAAGTTTCCCCACTTGCTTTTTCCCACCTCCTTAATCTATCACCAATGGATCTCTCATGTCTTCTCTTTTTATTGTAACTATAAAATAAGGTGCACAATTGCCATTCTCTGGAGTAGCAGTTCTCAACCTGTGGGTTGCGACCCCTTTGGGGGTCGAACGACCCTTTCACAGGGGTCACCTAAGATGATCGGAAAACATATTTCCGATGGTCTTAGGAACCAAGACACTGATCTTCTATCTGTCTCCAGGCGGGTCTGCCACATGCAGATACGCCCACTGACAACATGAGGAACTGTATTAAAGGGTCCCGGCATTAGGAAGGGTGAGAACCACTGCTCTGGAGCATTATCTCAATCCATTGAGATTTTGCTTCCCAGTAATTGTCCACAGTTTGACTCAAATAAACTCACAAAAATTCTCCCCAGGTTTGAATGTTTCTTACCTTGACAACTTGGCTGTGGACCCCAGATTCCCTACCCTCCAGCAAGTAGTCGGACCCTGAAATTTGGGGGCAGGATGGAAAGTAGTGAATTGCTTGTTTGGCATGTGTTCAGGACATCCATGGAGCTGGAGAAATGATTTTTTAACTTTTGTGGGTTCAAGGAACCATCTGAAAATCTGATAAAACCCTGGACCTTCTCCAGGAAAGAATTCTATTTTCCCACCCACTCACCCACGCACAGTTTCCCCTCCAAGGAGCCCCCAGACTCCAGGTGAAACTGCTGACCAGAGCAAGGCTCTGACACTCCCTAAGATGTCCTTCTACCCTGAATTGCGTCCCACGCCCTGCCTGGCACGTGGAGGCGGCGGGGGTTGGGAGGTACGGTGCACAGCTCTTGGCCACAGGGTCCGAACCCCCGACACCGGTCCAGGGACCGGATCTGTGCGCCAGAGCCCAGCAGCGACCAGGAGGAGGCGCCGCCCGGCTCCGGCCCCATCTGCGGACGCCCGGGGCGCGGGGAAGCAGGAGCGGGGCCCCGCCCGGGACGGCGTGGCCACCCCAGCCACACCCACCGCTCCTGGGCACGGAGCCTAAAACCGCGTCGCCGCAGGTCAGGCTCCTCTGCCGCTGCCCCAAGCTGGACTCGCGGACCCCGCCGCCGTCGCCACGGGAGCCATGAAAATGCACTTCTGTATCCCGGTGTCCCAGCAGCGGCCCGACTTGCTGGGGGGCCGCTACACGGTGCGCGGGGAGCCGGGCTCCACCGGGCGGGCAGGCGGCGACGTGGCGGGGCTCGCCGGCTCGCTGGGCTAACCCGGGACCGATGTCTCTGTGTTTGCAGCTGTACTCCGTGTACCTGGACGGGTTCCTCTTCTGCAGGGTGCGCTACAGCCAGCTATACCGTTGGAACGAACAGGTGAGCGGGTCCGAGGCGGGTACCAGCCCGTGCTCCTGGCGCAGGTGAGGAAAAGTGTGCCCAGAGGGCGCGTGACTCTGGCAAGACACTGGGCGCTTAGAAGGTTTCAGGCTCCTAAATCTGCGCAACAGCGTCGTGGAAAGGCTCAATTGTGAATTATTTGGCATAGAACTCAATGAATACACGTTGCTGCTTCTAATCATCTGCAGCTAGGAGATGAGGGACAGGGTTGCAGGTGATTCTTCCAACCTCTTTCCAGCCCAGGGACCCCACAGCCCTCCCTGGCAGGGTGCTGGGCGATGGTGGTCTCCATTTCAGTGCCAGCTGTTCCCTAGGACAATGTCCGCATTCAAAATGAGCAAACCGAGTCTAGACCAAGGCACAGTCTTAGGAATCGCCTAAGATGACAGGGGTCATCTCCCAGAGTTCCTTCAACTTACCCTTCATTGTGTCATTTTTTTTTTTCTTTTCCAAACGACTGTATTCACAGGCTTCAAATAGCGGCAGGCTTTAAAATCCAGGAAACATCCCTGGCTGGTATGGCTCAATAGTTTGGGCATTGTCCCGTGTAGTGCACGTGCCGGGGTTGCAGGCTGGATCACTGGTAGAAGGCATGTTTATTTCGCTCTCACGATGTTTCTCTCTCACGATGTTTCTCTCTTCCCCTCTCCTTCCCTCCTTCTCTAAAAATCAATTTTAAAAAATCTTAAAAAACAAAAACAAAGCAGGAAACAGATGACAATAATGTCAAGGCAGGATGCCATTTCCCACTACAGTTTTTCAATCCAATGTCCTGCCGGATGTTATTAGCCTGCTCTTATGTGTGTGTGTTTTCCTAATAAGGAAGTGTCGCAAGTCTTCAAAATGGGTATCAGGAATAAAGTTTAGAAAGAAACTCTATCTCCCTCACTCCACCCCATACACAGTTTTTTCTTTTAGTTAATTTTTTAGATTTTGTATTCTGATTATAAAGAGGAAAGAAAGAGAAAGAGAGAGAGAGAGAGAGAGAGAGAGAAGAAAGAAAGAAAGAAAGAAAGAAAGAAAGAAAGAAAGAAAGAAAGAAAGAAAGAAAGAAAGAAAGAAAGAAAGAGGAGGGAGGAGGGGAGGGGAGGGGAAGGGAAGGGAGGGGAGGGGAGGGGAGAGGGAGGGGAGAGGGAGGAGAGGGGAGGGAATCTTGCCTAGGAAACAGCTGTTAACTTTTTGGGGAGAGTCCTTTCAGAGAATCTCTAGGTTCTAGTGAATAGATACACCACGTTTCCTTTAACCACCTTCTGTTGGTGGACAGCTCAGTTCCATTTTTCAATGGAAAACCTCACTGCAGTCACACATCATAGTGCATTAGAAAAGTCCATTTTCAAGGTATGATTAAGTATCTTGGAATTTTAAAAAACAGCTGCAAAGTTCTTTTGTGTGGTCATCTTTGAATTGTTAGCACCTGGTACTGGGCCTGCAACTCAGTTGGTCCTCAGCAATAATTGTCATAACTGGATGAGGAAGGGCATGGGTTTAGACTTCTGAAAGATGAGAAGCTAAAAATATATTTGAGGGGTTGGGAGGACTGCAGAGCCAGGCAGACTAAGAAAGAGAAAAGATAGGTATTTTAGGTATTGGGAAGTGGAAGCTGAGGTATCATCTCTCATTCTTGTGTGAGATGGGATTGGAGAGGAATCCCTCACAAGGTGAAAAGCAGGAGCTCATAGGGAGGAGCAGGGAGACTGTGTAATTGAGTGACCACTTCTTGGCTGGGTCACCTCACTTCTTTTCTGGACTTCAATGTCCTCATCAGAAATATTAAGTTAATAGGTGGCTGTGGATGTCAATGTCACAGGGTACTTGTGAAGATCAGGAACCATTTTCTCATACAGCCTGACACACAGTACGTGCTCAGTAAATACTAACTCAGAGGCTTGAAGAATTTCTGAACCTGGACCTCCTTAACCAACAGACTCAGGAAAATGCTCATTTTCAGAAAAAAACTCAGATCTGTCAGATCCTAGCAGATCCAGAAATGAAGACATAAGGTGCGTTAACCTGTATTCTTGATCTTCTATTTTGGAAGCCATGGATAAGAAACCATTTGTGATTCATTGCAGGGGCCTCTTAAATATTGAATAGCCACAGCCCAGTGCCCTCTATGGGGTGTACAATAGATGTTAATGAATACTTCATATTTACCCCAGATTTCTCAAAATCCTAAAGTGGAGATTTTTTTTTTGTTCAGTTCAAACTGCTTTGCACTTATTGTTTCCCCTTCCATAAGAACAACTCCATTTTAAAGAAACTATTTAGATCTTAGGTGGCTAATGGTATTTATTATTAATTTAAAACAATAACTAACAATTAGGCAGTTACTGTGTGCTAAGGTTACTGGTGCCAAGCGCTTTACATGTAATAGTGTGTTTAATTTTCACAACAGTCCTATGAGCTAGGATTATAGTTAGCCCCATTTAACACATGAGAAAACTGAGGCACAACTTGCCCAAAGTCATACTGCTGGTAAGTGTTGAAGGCAGTATTTGATCTCCACAACTGCTTGGACCTATTACATTTTGTGTGAGTTTTTTTTTTTTAAACAAAGTTGACAAGATAAATTGTATTGGTAAAACAATTGAGTAAAGTGCTTGAGTTCTAAACTACCACGCTTTTCTCTATTTTGGAATAACTTAATAAAATTTGGAGTGTTCAGAGTGCTGCATTTTGGTAAATGTATACAGTTACCATCACCATAATCAAGAGAGAGAACAGATTCCACATTCTAAAAGTTCTTTGCCCTTGATCCCTCCCTCCACCTCTGGCCCCAGGCACCTGGGATCTGTTTTCTGTCACCAGAGTTCCAGGCACTGGATTTAATTCCAGCTGCTCAGCAAGCCCCGTAGGGTTGTTTTTGTAATCATCATCATTACTCCCGCTTCATAGGTAAGGAGTCTGAGTAAGGTTGGCAGACTTAGCAAATAAAAATATGGGACCCCCCCCCCAGTCAGTTTCAGATAAACAATATACGCTTTTTAGTATAAGTATGTCCCAAGCAATATTTGGGACCTACTTCACTGGACATTTGGTATTTTATCTGGCAACCCTAAGCCTGAGACTGACAGGTTGGGTGACCTCTCCTAACCACTTCTCATCCAGATTCTATTCTTCCTATTCCATAGAAGTGAAACAGCTCAGGATTCTTAATTCTTCTGATTTAATACAAAGCATTACAAAGAGGGAAACAATATAAAGGCCGTGTGTATGTGTGTGTGTGTTTGGTGAGTATAAATATATTTCTATATTTCTAGTTGGTTTCCTGGGAAGGTCTGCATCCCTGTAGAATAGAAACTTCATCTTATAGAATTAACTGACATTCATGTACTTAAGAAATATTTACTAAGTTCCTATTAGATGCCATGAACTGTGTTGAATTAAGTGAAGACTCTGACTTGAGCACATGAGATTTTTGGCCCTAAGAATTGGGTTTCTATTTTGTGAAATGAATAACTGAGACTGAGGAGAAGCACCTGGCTCAGGTGAGGTGGCTCCTTCTCCTTCTCAGCCAAGCGATGTGGAGGCTAATGCAACAGGACTGAACCTGGGGAGAAATGGCTGTGTTCCGAAGAGGTCAGTTGTGACCTGAGCCGGTCTAAGATATCAGAGCCCTCCCCCAAGCGAGGTTCCCTGGAGGTCTGGCAGCTTGCCCCCTCTGCCGATGAATGCCACCCATCTCTGCCATGTGCACGGCCTGGCCTGACTTCTTCCTCTGTGTCTTTAGATGAATACAGCCAGTGTGATTTATGCCTCTGCCCTTGCCTGCACCAGCCCCTGCAGATGAGGTCTGTGAAGGAAAATGTAACTGGCTTTTTGTGACAAAGTGTTAGGCCATCTGTGTAAGCATTACTGAACTCTATGAAAGGATGCTTGCCTCTTTGCAAATGTTCTGCCATCATCCGACATGGCAATGGGGACAAACCATGGACACTTGCAAAGGACCCTTCAGTAGGAGAGGAGGGCTGTGCGAGACAATATGCACTGGTTCAGTCTTCCTCCCTGCCTGGTGCTGACCCAGTCTGACTCCTTCCCCTCTTTCACCCAGTCTCCCCTCTGCCCCATTCAAACCCTGTCAGCCCATTCATTGCCTCTGCTTGGCTCACTTCCCCCTCCTTAGCAGACCTCTGCTTCTGGCCCATGAGTCAGGGACCAGCCCTTTCTCAAGGCCTACCTCCCGCCTCACCTCCTGAAGTCCCCCTTGGTGGCATGATAGGCCTTTCTCTGATTCCTGTGCCACTTCACGTTCAGGCCTCATCATCTTCCTCTTTGTGTGTGTGTGCTTGGTCTCCCCTCATTATTTGGTTGCAAAATCAAATATTTAAATAAAGGAATAAATGAAGGCTGCAGGCATGCATACCCAGCACAGAATCCTACTTTAGTAGATACTCAATAAAAATTTGGGAAAGGAGAAGGAAATGAGGGGGAAGAGAAGGAAAAAGTAGTGAAAAGACAGAGTCCAAGTTCTGCCACTCATTAGCTTGTAGGACCTTGGTTTAGGTCACTTTATCTCTCTGAGTCTCAGGTTACTCCTCTTGTCAAGTAATCTTGTCAAGGTGGAGGAATGTTGTCAGGTGCCCTCATCAGGATGGAAAGATGGCAATATTAATGGTGATGGGGATCAGCTACCTCGTAGTTTTGAAGAATAAATATGATGATGTACAAGCTTCAGGCTGATGTTCTTTGGTATCAGATGCCACAGTCCAGCTTCGACTCTTTATCCCGAGAATCTAGGATTTTGATGCCAAGGGACCTTGGCGAAGTGGGATAAATGAGTCCACATTAGAAACAGAGACAGGAGAAAGGCCACTGTTTGTGTCTGTAATTTCACTTGTCTCACGTCACTGCTCTAGGGTAGGTTTGGGGCGGTGAATACATAGGGCTGGGAGGGAGGTGATGTTTCACAACTGGCCAGTTAAAGCTTCTTCCTGTTAAAAGGCAGAACTGTGCAATGGAGAAACGCGCAGGAAAGTGTGCTGGGATGAAATATATATATTATCTGAACATTGTCTTAAAAATAAAAAGACCAAACAAACAAAAACATTTCATAAAAGAACAGAAGTATGTTTTCCCTTTAATCTCTTGAAATATTTTTTTGAAAGAGTGGGCTAAACTGTAAAACCAGGTACTTTTCAGTATGCTACTAGTTGTAATACCTAAACTATGTGCTGTCTCAGACTAATAGAAAAGGCTGTATTTTGATAGAGTTGAACTTGTGAAGTTGAGGAGTGACTTTTGGCAGACTTACCTACAATTTACTGTGTTTGTCTTCCCCCTTCAGCAGTATTAGGGAAGGAGGAGGGGAAGTTTCTTTGAGTCATCAGCTCCGGTTGTAAAACCTGCTGGGAGAGTTTTTGCTCTGTGATAGGTACTGGAACCTGAATCCTTGTTGACTTTCTCCCCAGATGTTGGCCTTAGGGTAGAAGCTTCTGCAAGATGCTCTTCTGCAGATGCATATGACCCAGGAAGCCCTGTGATTCCAACCAATTTGGGAGCAGCTGGGACATTAATGAACACATGCCAAGGAAGACAATTGCCTTGTAAAGATCACTTAATCAGTTAATCAAAAAATAATTGCTTGCAAAGAAGACAGGATTCTGGTTCTATTTAATGGAATTAGTGGAGATGGGGTGCGTAAATTCAAGGGAGTTTGAGCTGCCCTGCTGGGGACAGGTGCCTTTGGACAGTTTTTGGCATGGCAGGAACATTTCCTTGAATTTAAAACAGAATTGTTGCTATAATATTTTATACTATTAGATTTGCAAACTTCAATGGCTGCGGGAGTTAGGCAGGTAATTTAAGTGAGAGGCACAGACTGGGCAAGAGGCAACGGGCAGTGGTGGAGACTGCCTAGGTCTGCAAAGGGGACAGTTGCCTAAGAGAATAGAAACCCAGTGATTCCAGGCCTTCTGATTTTTCAAGGGAAGCCAGAATTCACTTTTTAAAAAAATAAACTTTAATTTTGTAGACTATCGATTTACAAAAAATTTGCAAAGATAGTGAGAGTTCCTATGTATCCCGTGCCCAGTTTTCCCTATTGTTTTCCACTGGTATGGTGCATTTGTTACAGTTAACGAACCAGTATTGATACAACCTTATTGACTATAGTCCACAATTTATTCCGACTTCAGTGTTTACCTAATGTCCTATCTCTGTTCCAGGATCTCATCCAGGATGCCACATTACAGTTAGTCATTGTGTCCTTAGACTCCTCTTAACTGTGACTGTTTCTTAGATTGTCATTGTTTTTTATGACTTTGACTGTTTTGAGGAGTACTGGTCAGGTATTGTGTGGAATGTTTCTCTATTGGAATCTGATGCTTTTACATGAATAGCCTGGGGTGATGTGTTTTGGGGAGGGAGATCACAGAGGTCAACTGCCATTCTCATCACATCATATCAAGGACACCTACTATCAACATGACTTACCACTGTGATGTTGACCTTGATCATCTGGCTGAGGTATTGATGGTCAGGTTTGGGTACTGTAAAGTTACTCTTTTAGCTCCTTTTCCATAGTGTATTCTTTGGAAGGAAGTCACTATGTATAGCCTACACTTAAAGAGTTGGGAGTTATGCTCTGTCTCCTTGTGGGATGACTGTCTGCATAAATTATTTGAGATTCTTCTGCACAGGAGATTTGTCTGTTCTCTCCTATTCCTTCCTTCCTTCCTTCCTTCCTTCCTTCCTTCCTTCCTTCCTTCCTTCCTTCCTTCCTTCCTTCTTTCCTTCCTTCCTTCCATCATTTATATTTGCATGGACTCCTGGATATTTACTTTATACTTTGGATTATACTTCCATATGGCTTTATTTTGTTGCTCAAATTGTTCCAGCTTTGGCCTGTGTGAACTCTTTCAGGTTCCTACCACCTACCATCTGTTTACTTAATTGTTCGATTCTGCCACACATATAGCAATATTAGAATTGTCAACCTGCACCCCTGTGAGAAACAACTCTATCTACTAGCGTCCAGTCCTCTGTACAGGTTCGTTTGCCTTGGGTTTTACAGGCTCCACTCATTTCCAAAATTGCTTAGGTTGGTACCTTTTTTCCTTCATTGCAATATTTCACACATTTGTAACATAGTGAAATTCTTTTGTCATATTCTGAATTCCATCCTGGGTTTTCCCCCACCCCATATATGATTTTAAAAATATTTTTATACATTAAGGTTGTGTTGTCAAGTTCACTAGATTCAAAAAATGCATAGCATCATGCATGTATCCACAATGACAGCATTATACAAAATAATTTCACTTCTCTAAAAAATTCCATGTGCTTCACCAGTTCAGTACCCCCTACTCCAAGCTTCTGGTGACCATCGATCTTTTTACTGTCTCTATAATTTTGCTTTTTCAAAAATGTCATATAATTGAAACCGTACAGTGTTTAGCATTTCCATACTGTCTTCGTTCACTTATCAATATGCAGTTAAGTTTCCTCGTGTCTTTTCATGGCTTGGTAGCTCATTTCTTTTTATTGCTGGATAATATTTCATTGTATGGATGTACCCGTTTGTCTATCCAGTCACATATTGAATGACATCTTGATTGCTTCCTGTTGGGAGTAGTTATTAATAAAACAGCTATAAACGTTATGTGAACACAGTGTTTTTGTGAACACAGTTTTCAAATCTGTTGGTTACTTACCTGGTACTGTGATTACTGGATATTACATAGTAAATATTATATAGTAAAACTACAAACTACATGAGCTTCTAGGAAGTTGCCAAACTGCCTTCCAACGTGTCTGTGCCATTCTGTATTTCCTCCAGAGCATGAGTTTTAAAATTTTTGAATCACAAAATTAATGTTGGAATCAAATTCAAATTCTCTAAAAATCACCCAACCAACAACCTAGCAGATCAAGTAAAACACACCAGGATGCTATCTCTTACCGACAGGCAGGCTGTTAATAACATCTAGAAAGTTGGTAACTTTCTAGATTTAGATGAACACTATCCAGGAGAATTTTCTGTGCTGATGAAAATGCTCTAGATCAGCTTTGTTCAATTCAGTAAGAACTTGCCACATTTTGATTAGTTATTGAGTATTTGAAATATGGCTAGTATGACTGAGAAACTGAATTAAAAATTTTATTTTACTTTAATTAATTTCAATATAAATTTAAGTAGTCACAGGTGGCTGATGGACGTCATATTAGATAGCACAGTTGTAGATGATTTTAAGGATTTTCACTTTTACTCGAGTGAGGTGGGAAACCATGTGGGATTTTGAACAAGGCAGTAGCATGATCTGAGTTACATTTGAAAGTATCACCTTAGATTCTGTATTGGGAATAGACTGAAGGGAGTCAGTGGCGTAAACGGAGAGATTTCTTGGCAGACTACAATAATCTGAAAAAAGATGGCAGTGGTGTGGACCAGGGTGACAGCAGGGGGCGTGGAGAGAAGTGGTCAGATTCTTCAGGCATTTTAAAGTTAGGACCCTTGCAAGGTAAATATTTGCCAAATACACACTGTTGTTGTGACAAAAGCCACGGAATTAAAATCCTTACCTATTTGCAGTCTCATTTCTCTTATGTCGCTTTCATTCCCTCTACGCCATTGACGATGGTAACAGTGGGCACGGCAGCCCTCTGCTCCAGGGGTCCCGTGTGCAAGCCCGACTGGGTTTCTGACTGGTTTCCTTTCTCCTAAAAGAACGGTGCTGCGCCTGATCTTCAAGCTGCCGCTCTAGGTGTAGGGCTGGTATGCACCAACATGCACTTTTGGTTATCTTAATTTAAAGATTATTTTTAATGCATACACCATTTAGATTGCATAAATATAATTGCCATTGTTTTGGGTTATATGTGGGAAGGGCCTGACCAGATTTCTCTTGGGATCGTGTGTCAGCCTTATAGGAATCTATAAATCAGCACTTTGCAATAGAAATAAATGTGAGCCACATATGTAATTTAAAATTTTCTAGTAGCCTGATTTAAAAAGCATAAGGAGAAACAGGTGAAATTAATTTTAATAATATTTTTTATTTAATCCAATATATTAAACTATTATTTCAACATATAGTCAATATAAAAATTATAAATGTGATAGTTTACATTCTCTTTTCTAGGAGACTAAGTCTTTGTATTCTGAGTTGTGTTTCTACACTGTGGCGTATCTCAGCTCAGACTAGCCATGTTCCCAGTGCTCCTTGGCCACAGGTGACTAGTGGCTACCAGCCACCATATTAGCAAAGCTGTAAAAGTTTGCTGTTAGTTCAGATTTGGTGAAGGTGGAGGGCAGGTGGGGAAATAAAAATTCCTAACCATTGTCATTGATATCACAGATACTACTGAGCTATGAATTAAAGAAAAACTGTATGATGTGAGTTGTGGACAGTCTTATAAAAACAAATGAAAAATTAAAATGTACCCCAAATCTACCAAACTCAGGCTGGAGTTGTCATTCTGTGATGTGTCTAATGGTATCTCCAGAAACCTATACTGAAATAAAGTCCTCCTTAAGCCAATCAAAGTATTCCTCTTTCTTTGGCCACCAGAAAGGGTTAATTAAAAAAAATTGTTTACTGAATTTATTGGGGTGACACTGGTTAATAAAATCACATAGGTTTCAGTGGTACAATTCTGTATACATCATCTGTATATTGTATTGTGTGTTCATCACCCCAAGTCAAGTTTCCTCCCAACACCATTCCTCCTTCCTTTACCTTCTCCTACCTTCCCTCTGGTAATACCATACTGTTATCTATGAGGGTTTTTTGTTTCTTTTGCTTAATCAGGAAGGGCTAATTTTAAATAAAGTGCTAGAGTAAGATGTGCCCTAAGAGGAGTCTTTGGTATTTCACCAACCTTGAATTGGAGGATCTTTGATATAAATGTGTTTTCTGGGTCTTTCAGCTGAGACGGGTCTTTGGAAATTGCCTGCCTCCCTTTCCACCAAAGTATTATCTTGCGATGACCACATCTATGGCTGATGAGAGGAGGGACCAGTTGGAACAATATTTGCAAAATGGTAGGTATTTGGATTTTTAAAGTAGATTTATCAAGATATAAATTGCACACTATAAAATCCACTCATTTAAAGTATACAATTCAGTGGTTATTAGTATATTTATAGGATGGTGCAACTATCACCATGATGTAATTTGAGAACTTTTATTTAAATCAATCAAGAAAGAAAACTCATACATATTATAAGTCACTGCCTAGTGCTCTCCCCTACTAGCCCCTGTCACCTACACTAATTTCTGTCTTGATAGCTTTGCTTGTTCTGGGCATTTCAGATAAATGGAATCATGCAACATGTGGCTTTTGTATTTGGTTTTAAAAATATTTTTCTTTTCTCTAGCTTACTTTATAGTGAGAATACAGTATATAATACATATAAGATACAAAATACATGTTAATCTACTGTTTATCTTATCAGTAACGGTTCCTTTCGGTCAATAGTAGGCTATTAGTAGTTACATTTTGGGGGAGTCAAAAGTTATACTGTGATATTCAACTGCGTGGGGGTTGGCATGCTTAAGCCCTGCATTGTTCAAGGGTCAACTCTATACAATGAAAGGTACATTCCCTTCTACCCCAAGCCCCAAGCTTCTAGAAGTACACATGGTTTCAAGCGGCTTGTGTATTGCTTAGAAACCATCTGTGTGTACACTAGCGTGTATGTACATCCCTGTTTGTCCAACACTAATCAAAACTTACTCTACACATTTTTCTGTATCTGATTTTTTAAAGCTATTTATTCTGACAGATTCTCTGACTTACAGAAAAGCTGCAAAATGTAATGCAAAAATTTCTGTGTATTCCTCACCCAGACATCCCAGATGTTAACATTTTACATTTGCTTTATCATTCTTTCGCTTTCCCGTGTGTGTATATATTCATATATATTGTATATAATTTTTGAGATACTTGTGTTGCACACACAAGCCACTTCACCCTTAAACAGTTATGTGTGTATTTCCTAAGGCCAAGGACATTCCCCTCTATAACCACAGTATAGTTATCAAAATCAGGCAATTAACAGTGATACAATAATACTATCTAGAGACTTTATTCAAACTTCACCAACTATCCCTCTGATGTCCCTCATAACAACAAAAAAGTTTTTTGTTCTGTATGCTGGTTTCTTTCCCTCCTAAAATATATAGCTTACAGATCATTCTAGGCCAGCAACTATCAATTTACTTTGTTATTTCACTTTTTTTTTAAGCAGAGTAAATGAAAAAATTCTAGATGTCACCTATTTCCCATGTATCTTTTGTAATGGAGACTATACCTATTTCCGACCTATTAAATAAGCCCTTTCAAGCTCAAAATGTAATCCTTTTTGAATTTCCATCTCTCTTGGTGTGTTTTCTCACGTCTTAGAGACATGCTCCCGCAAACCCCTGGCCTTTTCACAAATGGTCATGTGCTTAAGGGGTCAGTTTCCAGGCCTGGCCTCTCCCCGTATCATCAGCATGACCTGTGCGTTCTCTTTGGCGAGGTGGATATTGAACAACCGAGTGTGCATGAATAAAGTGAGAATCTGGAAACGATCACCTGGGACGGGTGTGATGGGCTCGTGTTGTTGTCAGGGCTGCCTGGAGGAAGCAGGCTTTGCAGCTCTTTGAGAGATCACAACCTCAGCTGCCTTCAAGGAGGCCGCAAGGCCTGGAAGTCAGAGCAATTTAATAGAGAAGTCACCCCAACCCTATGCTAACCTGGCTCGCTGTCCATGTTTTTCAGTAACTGTGGACCCAAACATGTTGCGAAGTGATGTCTTCGTTGATTTTTTAAAACTGGTACAGCTGGTAAGCTTGCTATTCTTTACCAAGGTGATTATTTCGCTGCAGAACAGGTCTCTATGTTACCCACATGTGTGTTTCTGGCCAGCAGCTCCACAGAGCCTGGACTCAGGTAAAATACTTTTTTTTTTTTTTTGAGTACACTGGAGGATGGTTCCTGTTTTGTTCTTTTGGAGGTTTTGACTCTGGATGGAAAATTAAGTGTGCCACTTGACCTTTAGCTCATTTTAATGAAGCAGTTATCTTTTTTTCTGTAGCTTGAGCATTGCACACCTCAAAATTGGCCATGAAGAAGAGAACCTTTTATCATTAGGGGCTCGTGACAGTGCAGGGATGTCACCTCTGTAGCTGAGATTTCCAAGTGAGCCATGGTGACGCCGGCAGGGCAGGAGTGATAGTCATGCCACCACTACTTGTCCATTCATTCTCTGCTCCCAACTGTACTGTTGTACAGAGAAAATCCAATCTTGGCAGAAAGACTTACAGCAATTCACTTTCCTTTGTTGGTCTGAACCACTGCCCGCTTGTCCGCTTAGAGGCTGGAACTTCCCCAAGGCGCATCACACGTTCTAGTTGTACATATGGTCACATTGTTACTCCTGAAGGTATGTTCTTAACTGAACAGAAAAACTTCGAAAGGCTTAGTTGTACAATGATATGATATTATTGAACTGGGTCCCTGGCTTGGGGAAAACTGATACCATGATCAGATTTGTAAAAAGTAGAAGCAAATTTTATTTATTCAGTCATTCAACTGTGTTGATATACTTACTGGTCCACCAAACCTGAGAAATGACCCTAGAGCCTTCCAGAGTGTAGTCATTTGTATTTTCACATATTCTTGATGGTTTAAAAAATACACACACAGCCGTGGCCAGATGGCTCAGTTGGCTGGAGCATCATCCCATACACCAAAAGGTTGCAGGTTCTATTCCTGGTCAGGGCACATACCTAGGTTGCTGTTTGATTCCAGTCCAGGCGCTTGTAGGAAGCAACCAATCGATGTTTCTCTCTTACATTCACATTTCTCTCTCTTTCTCTCCTTCCCTCCGTTCCTCCCTTTCTCACCTCCTCTCTCTAAATCAATAAACATATCCTTAGGTGAGGATAAAAACACACACATACACATGTTTTCCTTTTCTTTGAAAAGTGTGTTGTTGAAGTGATGACAGTGGTAACATTCAAACAGCACTCAAGGGTCTACGACACAGACCTCAGAGACAACTGTGTTTTACAGTTTAATGTGTGTTCTTCACATTTCTGTACACATACAAACATTCATATGTATGAATATCATTTTTGTTTTGCAAATAGTCACATACTCCTACCCACCGTCTGAATCTCGTATTTTAAAACTTACATCTTGCAAATCATTCCATGTCAGTACACAGAGGGATCCTTGGCCTTGGTTCTATTACCCTTTATGTGTGTGCATTGTGGTTTTTATGTTTTTAATCCTCACCCGAGGACATTTTTGCATTTATCTTCAGATAGAGCAGGAGGGAGAGAGGGAGGAAGAGAGAGAGAGAAACATCAATGTGAGAGAGACACATTGACTAATTGCTACCCACATGACCCCATTCCGGGCCAGGGACAAACTGCAACCGAGGTACATGCCCTTAGCGGGAACCAAACCCGGGACTCTCTGGTCCGAGGGCCAACACTCCAACTGCTGAGCCAAACCAGCCAGGGCTGCACTGTGGTTTTTAAAAATGATTCATGGGTATTGATAATGTGGAGCTTATCTTTTTTTTTGAGTATCTTTTTTCCTGGTAATTTGAAAGATTTTTACCTGACTTAGTTCTCTTAGTATTTTACTTTGATAACTTATGCTCCAGCTGTGTTCGGCAGTGTCTCCTTTTGCTTCTTCTGATAAAATTTTCACGATGGTTTTATTGTTCCCTTTCATTTCTTCTGTGAACTTTGCCAGCTTGCTTTTATAGCCGTTCACTACTTTACCTCTTTTCTGAGGCCTGTATCTGTTCTTTGAGGTCTGAGTTCAGAGAAGACATATTTTTATTAACACATCCATCATTTTCATCTCTTTAGTGGTATTATTTTTTTGGATTATATTTTTTACCCTTAGTTGGTCATATTTCTTTCCTCCTTTATTTCAGGGTTTTGCTCAGGTCTCTTATCAGTTCTTCCCAGGCGATCCCTCAGCTTTGAAGGACTTGAGCTTATTGAGCCACCTCCTTCCTGACACAGTGCTGGGGAGGAGCTGGAGTGGAGTCATTGAGTCTGTCTTGTTTCTGCCCTAGGGTCTGAACAGTGTGTAGCGGTGAAGCCATTAACCACAGTTCCTCATATCATGACCTAACATTGCATTCATTTTTTAAATATGTTTTTATTGATTTGAAAATGAGAGAAAGGAAGAGGGAGAGAGGGAGAGAAACATGGATGTGAGAGAGAAACATCTATCGGCTGCCTCCTGCACACCCCCCTACTAGAGATCAAGCCTGCAACCCAGACATGTGCCCTGAAACGCTGACTTTTTGGTGCACAAGATGATGCTCAACCAACTAAGCCACACCGGCCAGGGCCGTGATCCAGCATTTTAACCCCCACTGTTGACTCAGCAGCCTCAGGACTCGCTTAGTGATTGGGTGCAGGCTCAGGATTGAGGTGGCTGAGGTTCAAGCTTTGGCTGCCCTACTTCTGATTTGTGTGGCTTGAGGCAATTTACTTAGCCTCTTTGTATCTCATTTCCCCCATCTTTAAAATGGGGAGAATAGCTCCTATTGATCTCTTGGGTTGCTTTGAAGATTAAGTGATTTTAAAGCACTGAAATGTCATCTGACAAACGTTCCCACTTGTGAAGTACTCACTACCTTTATCAATGCCGGTCCTTTTTCTCTTCCCAGCCATACTGAGAGATCGTGTTCTTCAAAGGTGGCATGTCTGCACATTCCGTGGGCCTCCCCTGCCACCCGTGGTGTCGAATGGGCCCAGAGGGGTGCTCCCAGACAGCCCAGCCCCTCATCATTAACTGCTCTAAGACAGCTTCTGCAGGGCTTGAGTCCTGTGGTGCCTGGTGACCCTGCTCCCTCCTCCCTGACCCGGCCAGGTGTCCACTGCACTTGGCAGCCACTCTGAAAGCCCAGTGTTCAGGCTCCTGACCATTTTCAAAGATGATTTCTTTCCACTGTTTTCTGTTTGCCTCTCAAAAGAGAACAGGACAGAGGTAACTTGACTCCTACAAAGTTTATAAAGGAGGTTTGCATTATGATTTTGAAAAGGAAATTATGCTTAAATCAGGAAGGTTGTCCTACGATTGTTGTGCCCCGTCCTGATTTGTACTGTTCTGTACTGCTCGTACCTTGAACAAACATGTATCAAGTGGAGGCCAGGAGCCAACATCTCTCTGGAGGTGGGGAGATTCCAGTAACAGCACCAGTCCAGCCATGGAGTTTACTGTCTTGCTGGAAGACAGAAAAATCACTGGACGAGTCACTAACTGCAGTGAGCACCGTGATCAAGGACTGTGCACTGTGATACGGAACCGAACACATGATGTATAAGGCCATGATCCAGGAGAGGTTAGGGGGTGTCAAGATTTCCATCCTCTCAGCCCTGGTGCAGCATTTTCGGCCCTGCCACCTCCTGTGGCTTTATGAGCAGTCCAAATGTTGTCATTCTCTCTGTGTGGCCTGGTGAGAGAAGGGCTAAGAGTTGGGTGGTCCTTGAACCTTTCGCCTCCCTTGATGTGAGATCACACATTGAGAGAGGGCTACGTCAACCGAAACCAGTGTTGCTGTGTCACATACAACAACACTGGAGACTGTACCCAGGATGAACGTGTGTCTGGAAACGTGGTAGAGGGCACCTTGGTCAGGGAGCCCTTCTAAAGGAAGTGACATCTCTGATGGTGTTGGAAGATTTCGAGGATGGGAAAGAAATAAGATTATACTCTAGCTTTTCCTTCCCACTGGGGTTAAAAAACAACAAACCACATAATATCCAGCAATCTGGGAGACAGACTCGGGACTGGTATTAGGAAAAGGGAAGCAGTGGCCCCTTCTACTCTAGCTGCCGGGAGACTTCCCCTGACCCCTGCTAGGGCTGGAGTGAGGGCTCAGAGGTAAACAGGTGCACCCAATGCGGGAGCGAGTCAGCTGGTCGAGCTCGCAGCAAAATTATTCCTGTGGGGCTAGTGGGAGCTGGGAGGGCTGGCGTGAGCAGCGGTGACTATGGCTGTGCCAGGCCATGAAAGGAGCGCAAGGAGCAGGGACTGGGTAGTTCCCCCACTTACGTGTTAATGGACCCCACTTGGATATTTTCACTGCCAAGCTCTTGACCTGCAGTTCCTAAGTGGTTATTGCCAGACAATCACTTGCTCACAGGCCTGGCTCTCCAGGGCTCAGCAAGTTCAAGGACATCTTTCTGTCTCTGGGCAAGAACACACGCCGTTAGAAACATGAATACATGTGACCTTCCAGGAATCCGAGGAAAGCCTTTATCAGAGATGGCAAAGGCAACCTGGAAAAATAAGGGGGGTTGCCTCTACCGGGGGCATTTAATCTGGGCTGGGCCCACGCTTTAGATGCAGTATCTCAATTATTATTCACAATTTGTGGAGGTGGTGCTATTAGCCTCTCTTTTTCAGGTTAAGTAAGTTGGTCAAGGACACATATCTCTCAAGTGGAAGAGCCGGGATCTGAACCCAGGGAGCCCTTCTCCATTGAGATCAGGAGCTTTTCTAGAGTGGTGGTAGCTTACCCAGCCTGCCTCCCACCATGCCCTCCTTGCTTTGTTTGTCTAGACCCCTTGACTTGCTATGCTCTGTGCTTCTGCCATGATCACCTTAAAAAGGAAGGGACTTTTGAAAAGGCAAAACCAAGGTCTTAGAATAAAGACATTTTTATGTTTCTGGTTCTTAAACTGTCATGTTCTAGTGGCCTCATGTGAACTGTTTGAGAAAAAGAAGACAAGAGGGTATTTGGAGTGGCTTTTGTATGCCTGTAAGTCAGGGGTGACTTGCGTATTTGGGGAGTTTTGCCAACTCT